GATATTTTACAGAGAGGAAGGGAGAGGGACAGAGAGTCAGAAACATCAGTGAGAGAGAAACATTGATCAGCTGCCTCCTGCACGCACCCCCCTGGGGATGTGCCCGCAACCAAGGTACATGCCTTTGACCGGAATCGAACCTGGGACCTTTCAGTCCGCAGGCCGACGCTCTATTCACTGAGCCAAACCGGCTAGGGCTCAATAAAAACATTTTAAAAATTAACATAAAAAATAATAAAATGGAGATGCTGCTATTACATACCTCATAGGACTGTTATAAGGGTCAAATGAGCCCATACCTGAAAATATGTGGTGTGGCCCCTGCCACATAGAAAGTGCTCAACGAGTGTTCACGTCCCTGAGCCTGGCCTGCACCCTCTCGCAATCCGGGATGTAGTAGTGTATGAAGTGGCAGGCGGCCAGAGAGGAGCCCAAGCCGGCCTGGCCTTAGCACTGAGGCAGGAGAGGCTCACACCTCCGTAGCCGTGCTGGCCAGTGGTGAACCCGGTGTCTGGCGCCCGTAGGTCAGCTGAGCGGCACTCCCGCTGTGGAAGCGCACTGACGCCAGGGGGTAGCTCCTGCGTTGAGCATCTGCCCCCTGGTGGTCAGTGTGCGTCACAGCGACCGGTCAAATGGTCGCTTAGGGTTTTAGAAAGATAGATAGATAGATGATAGATGATAGATAGATAGATAGATAGATAGATAGATAGATAGATAGTGATGCTTTCAGAAAGCCGTGGAGTTTAGAGGGAAAATACCAGAACTTTTCCTGATAGAGGAAACTCGCCTCAGGGGAGACAAGGCCAGTGGTTCCCAAACTTATTTGGCCTACCGCCCCTTTCCAGAAAAAATATTACTCAGCGCCCCCTGGAAATTAATTTTTTTTTAAATTTTAATAGCAATTAAACAGAAAGATATATGTATTAATGTTTCTACCTTTTTCGTAAAATATAGTAAAGAAAGGTGTAAATTAGAAACATTGAAGTTTGAAATTATGAAACTATTTATTGAACTCAGAATAGAAAGGTAATACAAAAAAAAGTTAAAACAAATGCACCTGTGGCCATCACCGCCCCCCTGGATCGCTGCAGCGCCCACCAGGGGGCAGTAGCGCCCACTTTGGGAATCACTGCTCTATCCACTGAGCCAAACCGGCTAGGGCGGGAAATCATTTTTTCAAGTCTCATAGAACCTACGCTAATCCTCGCTGGTTAGCTGCCCAGGAGGCGTGTTTCCTGTTATATCCTGGTGTCTGCTTGGGCGAATAGCTTGGGCGAGAGGATCAGGCCCACCCAGGTCAGTGACTGGGCTCTGTTATTGCCAAGCTGTGAACCTGTGCAAAAGACTTCACGTCCCAGAACTTTCATGGGTGAACTGGTGACGGCATTTTCTGTTTTCACTGAAGATCTGTGGAGTTTAGAGGGAAAATACCAGAACTTTTCCTGATAGAGGAAACTCGCCTCAGGGGAGACAAGGGACTTTTTTTCAAAATTATTGTTTGTCACAAAGCAAAATGAGAACCAGGGTCTGCTGACAGTTTTGTCCAATGACCCGCAAGCCACATAGACTCTTTCTGGGGAAATCGTTTTTTTAAAGTATTTTATTTTTTTAAAATATATTTTTATTGATTTCAGAGAGGAAGGGAGAAGGGAGAGAGAGACAGAAACATCGATGATGAGAGAGAATCATGGATCAGCTGCCTCTGCACACCCTCCACTGGGGATCAAGCCTGCAACCCGGGCATGTGCCCTTGGCCAGAATTGAACCTGGGACCCTTCAGTCCACAGGCCAACGCTCTATCCACTGAGCCAAACCGGCCAGGGCGGGAAATCATTTTTTTCAAGTCTCATAGAACCTATGCTAATCCTCGCTGGTTAGCTGCCCAGGAGGCGAGTTTCCTGTTATATCCTGGTGTCTGCTTGGGCGAATAGCTTGGGCAAGAGGATCAGGCCCACCCAGGTCGGTGACTGGGCTCCGTTATTGACAAGCTGTGAACCTTGTGCAAAAGACTTCATGTCCCAGAGCTTTCATGGGTGAACTGGTGACGGCGTTTCCTGTTCTCACTGAAGATTGTGAAGGTTAAATCGGGAGTGTAAAGATAGGGTGCCTCCCAAAAATGCATGCACACACTTTGAATGATTATAACGGCAGTGTTTATTAAAATACGTTTCATTTTCAGAATTGAGTTTTCTGCTGGTTAAATCGGGAGTGTAAAGATAGGGTGCCTCCCAAAATATGTATGCACACACTTTGAATGATTATAATGGCAGTGTTTATTAAAATATGTTCCATTTTCAGAATTGAGCTTTCCGCTGTAAAGTGTGCATACATTTTGGGGGACACTCTATATACCCAGCCCACCTGATATATCTCTTGTTGATGAATGAGTGACTTTGAGGGGACGGGGGCATAGATCATGTTCAGCCTGAAAACCCGAGCAGAGCAGATAAAGTGTGCATACATTTTGGGGGACACCCTGTATATGCAGCCCACCTGATACATCTCTCTTGTTGATGAATGAGTGGCTTTGAGGGGACGGGGGCATAGATCATGCTCAGCCTGAAAACCCGAGCAGAGCAGTACCCCAGCTGTAACGTCCTGGTCTCCCAGCGAATGCCTGGGCTGAGGGCAGGATGGGTGGGAGTGAGAGAGTGAAAAGAGGGAGCTGAAGGCAGAGTTTCTGGGCTGCGGTTCTTAGAGCTGCTCTGGCTCTCACTCCTCCTCTCTCCTCCCCCAGCTCTGCGCTCTCGGGGTAGAGCCCTTCGAATGAGGAGCCAGGCAGAGGCGGCAATGGGCATTGACCTTCTTACAGTCATGCCCCCGGTGAGTTAGCACACCCCCTTCCCTCCTTACAATAGTTTTGCTTTCCAGGGTTTGGTCATGTTTGTTTTCTTCTGAAAATTGTCTGCCTCATAGTTCCACCCTGGGGCTTGGTTTCTGTTTCCTCCCTCCCTGATGAGTGCTGGGGTCACAGGGTCGGACTCCAACCGCCCCGTGTCTCTGGGAGCCGCCTCTTCTTCCTGTTTGGTGTTCATTCTTCATTGCCTGCGCTCAGCTGTTTGTACACCATCTGACTGCACAGCATACAGTCCTTAGAGGAATCGGAGAGCTGCCACCTGCCTGGTTCCTATGTGCCCATCTGACTCTCAGAGAGCCAGCAGCCTGCTGGGGAAATGAAAAGGCAGCAAACATTTATATAAATACTAGAGGCCTGGTGCATGAAATTCATGCACTGGAGGGGGAGTCCCTCAGCCCTGCCTGCCCCCTCTCACAGTCTGGGGCAGGAGGCGACCTGGTGATCGCTCTGAAGAGGACAAACCCACCAAAAAACACAAAAAAGACAAAAAGGAAAAAAAGAAAAGAAAGAAAGACAAAGAGAAGACTGATCAGGAGGAACTGGCAGAGCAGCCAGCCTCCTCTTCAACTCCTAGAAGCACGATGATAAAGGAAAAGGACGACCCTGGCTCTACAAAGCACAGCAGCAAGAACTCAGAGAGGAGAGGGGTCAGAAGCCAGAGTCTAGAGAGGTGTGGAAGCACCACCCCAGCTTCCCTGAGGTCAAGACAACCTGCCGCGGGGGAGTAGAGGACCATGAGCAGGAGCTGAAGAGGGAGAAGCCCAAGCATGAGCACAAGTCCTCAAGCAGGAGGGAAGAAAGAGAAGAAAAAAACAGGGATAGGGACAGAGGTCGAAGCTCAGACATACATTCTGGCTGGCACGAGGGGCATTCTGAGGGACATAGCCGTAGAAGTAGAAGTAGGAGCCGAGATAAATCCCATAGGCCTAAAAAGGCCCGGCACTCTCGAGACCTGGACCCCTCAAATCCCAATGACCGCAGGCATCACTGAAGCTGAAGCCTGGGCAGCTACTCTGGAATTAGAAATGAACTACATTTTTAAAATTCAGTCAAGTTCAATTATGCTTTATTGTTTCTGTATGTAAAATCTCTGAGGTTGCATTCTTTAATCCCTTGAGTATTAGAATTATTGAGAGTGCAGTAGTTTCAACAGCCAAATGTCCTTGGAGTTTGGTTGATTTAAAACTTTTAAAAATATATATTTTTATTGATTTCAGAGAGGAAGGGAAGGGGATAGAGAGATAGAAACATCAATGATGAGAGAGAATCATGGTTTGGCCGCCTCCTGCACGCCCCCTACTGGGGACAGAGCCCGCAACCTGAGCATGTGCCCTTGACTAGGAGTCCAACCGGGACCCTTCAGTCCACAGGCCAACGCTCTATCCAGTGAGCCAAACCGGCCAGGGCTGGGCACAGTTCTTAACACCTTAAGAACATTAAGATTTCCTAGAATATGTTGTGTAGGTTGAAATGATGTTCATCAGGTCGGCATCCTTCCTTCAGATGTTTCCTTGCAGCCCCAGAGCTCTTTAATTCCTCCATGTAGAAAGGTGATGTAGCTTCGAATATAGATCAGATATTTAATATTTAATGATACTGTTTTTAATGCAGTCAACATTTTTTATAAATTTCATAGAATTGCTCCAAGAGCAGAGAATGGCTCTCATATGTTTTTATTTTTCCTAATTTATACAGTATAACTAGACAGAAAAGTTGTCCAGGAGCTAACTCCCATTCCTGGGTCAGTTAGACCCCCATACAATTACGTACACACGTTCCCCCCCCCTCCCCCCGGGGTGTAAGCAGCAGAATCCTTTACCCTGGAGCTCCCCGAGTGGGGACGTGAACACCGGTTGAGCAAGATTGCATTTGTGTCGTTTCAGGACGCAGTGACTTTCCCAGATGTGGCCATAGACTTCTCCCAGGATGAGTGGGAGTGCCTGAATCTTTCTCAGAGGATTCTGTACAGGAAGGTGATGTTGGAGAACTACAGGACCCTGGTTTCCGTGGGTAAGAGTGCCTCCATCCCTCACCTCCCCACAGGAATCTTCCCGCCTCGGCTGTCTCTCACGGCTTTCTCAGCATTTTCCTACCGCGTCCCTCTTCTCTCCGTACCGTCTGGACTGGGTCATAATTCTGCAATAGCCACAGCATAGCCCGTTTTCTTCTCTTTTCCTCTATGCAGGTCTTTGCGTGTCTAAGCCAGACGTGATCTCCTTGTTGGAGCAGGGTGAAGAGCCCTGGGTGACGGATGGCAAGATGGCAGGAGGCCTGTGCCCCCGTAAGTACAGGATTGCTAGCACTGGGGAAGCTATTCTCACGATGTTTCTTCTCTCTAAGACTTGTTGGACAACAACTCTAAAAGCCCCTCCCAAATGGAAACATCTTGTTCTAACTCCATTAAAAAAAAGGTTATTGATTTTATGGAGAGAGATGATGGGGGGGGGTCAATTGGTTGTTCCACTTATTTATGAATTAATTGATTGATTGTTGTATATGCCCTGCCTGGGGATCGAACCTATGACTTTGGTGTATCAGGAAGACTCTTTTAACAACTGAGCTACCAAGTCAGGGCCTCTAACTCCATTTTTTAAGTCTGTCTTCTCCTCCTCACTGGCACGATGTGCCACCTGGACCTTCACTGATCTCCTGCAAATCCCATAGTCTGTGTCTGGACGCTGTTATGTTGCACTTATGTTGACCTCGTGCCATATTGTTACAATCATTCCTGACAGTCAGCATTTTTGGATTCCTCAGACAAATTTGTGTTCAGTTGCTTAAAACTTTTCCTTTTTTTTAAAACGTGTTTATTGGATTAACAGTCATTATAGCTGTGTTCTTCCTTCTACTTTTAATTATTTTTCCTTTGTTGTCCTGTGATTATTTCTTCTTGCTTTGTTGTTTATATATGGTTTTTCTCCTTTCACACCATCCCACCCTGTGAATTGGAAAGGTTTTCAGTCCCACAAGGTGTTACCTTTATGTTTTTATGTATTTTTGAATCTATATTTTATAATTCACATGAGACTCGGAATGCCACCTTTTGATACCCACATGAAAGGTGAACAGATCA